TTAAAATTTTAAGTAACATTTATCTGTGTGTGGTGTCACACACCTATAATCCTAGGACTTTGGAGGCTGAGGCAGGAGGATCAAGAGTTCAAGAAACAAAAATAAATAAACAAAATGAAATTTAAGTAATGCTGAGTGAAAGAAGTCTGAAACAAAAGGTTTTGTACTGTAGGATTCTGTTTATGTGAAACTGCACACAAGGCACATCCACAGGGTATAAATTTGGTGGTCGTGGGGCAGGTGGAGGTGGACATTAGGAGTGTCTGCTAGCGGGAGTGCTGTGGAATCAGACAGTGGCAATGACTGCACACTGTTCTGAATGTACCAAGAGCCACCACACTGTGTCCTTACAACGGTACATTTATGTATGTAACTTTTATCTCGAAATTTACATACATACGGCCAAACTGCTCTCCGAAAGAGTTGTGTGCATGCCTCCTGGTGGGCTTCCCTCTCCAACAGTGATACTACCAGTAGTTAACAGTTTTGCTGATCTGATAGAAAAGTAGATTTTTAAAAACTGCATTTTCTTGATTGCCTTTAGGGCTGGGCGTCTTTGTGCTTTACTGGTCATTTGCACTTCCCTGTGCACCAATTGTTTTTGTATGTGCCCTTTCTCTACTGGATTACTGGTCTTCTGTTTGATTTGTAGGAGAGTCATCTCTTCTGCTAATCAGTCTTTCATCTGTAATCACATATCAGACTTGTCAGTCTCTTTTTTCTTCTTTTTATGTGAATGGCTTTACCCACCATCACTGGACATAGAGTGAGCTCCCTGTTTTGTGAATGGCTTTACCCACCACCACTGGACATGGAGTGAGCTCCCTGTTTTGTGAATGGCTTTACCCACCACCACTGGACATGGAGTGAGCTCCCTGTTTTGTGAATGGCTTTACCCACCATCACTGGACATAGAGTGTGCTCCCTGTTTTGTGAATGGCTTTACCCACCACCACTGGACATAGAGTGAGCTCCCTGTTTTGCTGTGGGGTTTCCGTGGGTTTTGTTCTAGATGAATGCATCTAGAACACAGTGACTGTGTGTAGTAGGGATCTGTTTTTTCTCTGTGTGCCTCAAGGAAATCTTTGTGTTCTGTGAAATCCTGTTCAGAGTAGGAATTTTTAAATATCCAGAAAGAGCCTCCATTTAAAGAATTGATTCTAGCCAGGCACCAGTGCCTCACACCTGTAATCCCAGCTACTTAGGAGGCAGAGATCGGGGGATTGCAGTTAAATAGTGCGAGTGATCCTATCTCAAAAAACCCTTCACAAAAAACGACTGGTGGAGTGGCTCCGTGTGGAGGCCCTGAGTTCAAACCCCAGTACTGCAAATAATAATAATAATTGAGTCTAAGGAGTCGGTGTGCCTGTAGCCCCAGCTGCTTGGAAAGCTGAGGCAGGAGGATTGTTGAGCCAGGAGGTCAGCCTGGGCCCATCTCAACCACCTCCCCCCCAAAAAAAAGTTGTCTTCCAGAGTTGTTTAAATGGTGAGTAGCTTATTTGTTTTGTTTTGAAATTCAGATAAGCAGGTGCTCACCCCCAGCCCCAAAGGATGCTAGAGGCCAGTTGAAAAGATTGTTTACCTCTCGAAATAGTTTCATTTTAATTTGCAGTCCTCCATGTGATACTGGCATTTGTTTTGTTTGGTTCTGTTTGGGGCTACAGACAGAACCCAGAGCACTGAGCTCTACCCCCCCACTCCCTCCCTTCTTGGATTTAAATTCTAGTGGCTTATATCAGGTGTAGATCTAGGTTTTGTTGAGAAGATGAGCTAATTTAGGGGCTTCTCTGTAATGCAGGAATACCAAATGGTGAATACAAAATTAGGCTCAGGCTGCAGAACCTGAAACCCAGGTTTCCTTCCCATCCCAGTAGAGTCAGCTGTGATGTTAGCAGAATGGGTCCCTTAAATAAAAGGGTGAGGAACGGCCATCTCATCTATGCAGTGGTCTGACTTCCTTTTTTTTTCACCACTGGCACAGCTTCAGGACTGTTTTCTTCATCTTTTGTTTTAAAAAGGTCTTTCGGAACAGACACGTGCATCAAGGTGGCTTTAATGTGTGAGTGGGTTAGTCCAATGGCCAAGTTTCTTTTAGCAGAGTCTCCGCCACCTCTGCATTGCTCAGATGTGATGTATTTGATCTGTGGAGGAGCTGGAGCTCTGTATAATTTAATGATGGGAATCGTTAATCTTGTAAGCCGTTGGAGCTGAATTTACAACTTAACTTTTCGTATCTGCTTGTTTTTGCATGAAAGCTTGGTTCACACTGTTGAAAGGTTAGCAAGTGCAGCCAACAGGGTTTTCTCTCATTTCCTTCTCCTTCAAAAACTGGGGAGACAAGCAGTGACCAGTGTGGTCCTAAATAATGCAGAAGATACTAATAGTGATCACAGATAACTTTCAGCAGGAACCAGGCACCATGCTAGATCATTACCATCGCCTCACTTCCTCCCCCGAAACCCCTGGGAGGCAGGTGCTGTTCTGCCCCTTCCTTTTCAGGTGAGAAAGCCGAGGTTTAGAGGGGGTGCCTTACTTAAGACCCAGTGCTGTCAGCTCACAAAGCAGACTTGGAGAGAGACTGTCTGGATCTTTTGAGATCTAATTGTATGTGTTAAAGATACTTTGTACAACTTTTAAGTTACCATTTCACTGAACAAGAGTCCTGTAAGATAATGGCTATTAGAATTCCCATTTTACAGAAGAGAAAACTGAGACCCTAAACCTTTGAAGGAATGGAAAAGCAGCCTGCATTCAGAACCTCCTTCCTGGACTCTGCAGCTGCCTCCCCAGAGTGCCTGGCAAACCTCTCTACAGTGAGGGCTTATTACATTTCTGAGCCTCACAGAAGTAGGGAGAACCTGGGGTTCCCTCCAGGTTTTTGTTTTTGCAGTGTTGGGAATTGAACCTGGGGCCTTGGGCATGCTAGGCAAGCCCTCTACCACCGAGCTACATCCTTAACCCCTCCAGTTGTTTTTTTTTTTTGTAGCACTGGGGTTTGAACTCAGGGTCTCCACCTTGAGCCACTCCACCAGCCCCACACACAACAGGTTTTTTTTTTTTTTTTGCAGTGGGTTTTTTCGAGATAGGATCTCGAGAACTGTTTGCCTAGGTTGTCTTCAAACCTCAATCCTCCTGATGTCTGTCTCCTGAATAGCTGGGATTACAAGCATGAGCCACTAGTGCCTGGCATTATGGTTTTGTTTTGTTTTTTTTCCAGACACGATCTTGCTATGCAACCCAGGCTAGCGATCCTCCTGGCTCCAGGATTACAAGTGTGCATCACTTTGCTGGATCCCTCCAGTTTTTCCAGTGAAGAAATGCCTACATATGGTTACAAAAACTAGATATGGCGTGGCTCAAGTGGTAGAGCAACTGCTTAGCAAGTGTGAAGCCCTGAGTTTAAACCCCAGGACTACAAAAATAAATTAATTTTTAAAAAACTGTGCATATTTTAAATGTTTAAACTTAACAAATTAATACTTTTACCTCTCAAAAAATAATGCAATGAATTTTGCTATTTGCACGTAGTTGAGTTCTTTTTTGGGTTTTTTTTTTTTTTTTTTTTTTGAGCCAGGGTTCTACTATTGCAACTCAGGCTGGTCTGAAACTAGTTATGTATCTCAGGCTGGCCTTGAATTTGTGGTCCTGCTGCCTCTGCTTCCTGAGTGCTGGAATTACAGGTTTACCACGCCCAGCCTTAAGATGTAATTTTTTCCCTCTGCTGGGGATCTAACCCAGCAAGCTCTACCACTGAGCTCCATCCTGAGCCCTTCATCACTGTTTTTGTAAACCATGGGCTCTTTATGTCACCCAGGCTGGCCTCAAATGCATGATCCTCTTGCCTCAGCCTCCTGGGTGCTGGGATTACAGGCAGGCGCCACCATGCCCAGCTTTACTCGACAAGATTCTTAAGAAATTCACAGGGCTTTTACTGTCAGGGTGGTATGGAAATGAGGCTTAATCGAAGTTGCTGGTCATTCCCATCGATCCTGTGTCTGTGGCATGGTAGGCACGTTCCTGTGGAGAACACATCCGGAGCATTCCGTCAGGCTGTTGGGAGAAAGGACGGGCAGCATTCTGACCGGTAGCTCTGTGCCTGGCCTTTTGCTTTACCAGTGTTGGTGACTAGAAGGATCAGTATTTACAAACAACCATGCTAAAATAGCATGCCTTGGTTTTTTCTTGTTTTGGGTAAGAAGAGAAGCTGTTTTTGCAGTCTGTCTTTAAACACCCTTTTGCCATCTGGGGAATGAATGCCGGGCCTAGGCAAGTGCTCCCCCAGTTATAGTCTTTCTTTTTTTGATGGTTCCCTGGTCAGACTTAAGTTTCTAGGAAAGAAAGGAGTATTTTTTTTTTAAATCAGGAAATACATTTGTAAATCATTGCCACTGCAGGAATAAATTAAAATGCAGGGCCCATTTCCAGCCCCACTAGTGACTTTCTGTGTAGCTTTTGCAAAACCAGTTAACCTTTTACTCATTTCTTTATACAATAGGAATGACAGGGTCGCAGTCAGAGTTTTCCAAAGCAATTTTCAGGTCCTCAAGTGAAAGATATTAAAAATATGCCTGCATCATTCCTGGTTCCCACCTAACAACTGACTCCAATTACCAGCCACTTAGAAAGAAGCATTGGGAGGGAAGACTCTTATCACCCGTGGCTAATCACAACTTTCACGGCTATGTTTTGTTGTTTCCATTCAAAAGCTAATGTTTTGGAAGTGACTGTGTTCTTCGAGGGTTAGAACGTGACTGCATTTCCATACAAATGTCACATTCTTATTAGCACGTCACCCATCCATCCCTTATGGGATTTTGCAACTCTGCTCGTAGATATAATCAGCTTTGTATTTTCACTCAAGGATAACAAACCAGCAAGGTTGAAATCTTGACTTGTCACCGGAGTTGAATTGCTCCCGGGAACTGGGAGGAGGGAAGGAGACTGACTAGAGCCCTGTTCAGAAATGACAACTGTCTTGAGAATCTGTTTTCTTCTTCTAGTATGGTGACTACGATCCCTCTGTGCACAAGCGGGGATTTTTGGCCCAAGAGGAACTGCTTCCGAAGAGGGTAAGAAGTCAAATTCCCTGTCTGGGAAAACACAGCCAAGCTCTGGCCTAAAAGGAAAAATCTTGAAGGAATATTGACCTGCACAGTGAGCACATTTTTATAAATACTTTGTAATAAATCTTGAGTGAAGAGTACAGAATCTCAGTTCAGCTTATTTTTTGTTATTTTTTTTTTATGGCAGTCTCACTACGTAGCCCAGGCTGGCCTCAAACTTGGAATCCTCCTGCCTTAGCCTCCACATTGGTGGTATCACAGCGTGTGTCACCTAAGCATATTAAAAAGCAAAGGTTCATGGGGTTAGTTCGGAGTGCCGAATGTTTACAGGAGTGTCCTGTAAATGTTTCCCTAGTGTGGTGATTCTGTAAAGTCTGTTGAGTGGCGTTGGTTCCCAGGGAGGTGTGGGAGCGGTGTATGTTTGGCTTGGGGAATTGAGCTGTTTGCAGTCAAGGGGTGGATAGGAGATGAGGCAGGGAGGGCCTTGTGGCTTTTAATCCTGGGCCTGTTCATCTTGTTCGAAGTGGACCCTCCCTCTCTGTGGCTGCTTCTGATATTACAGCCCCGCTTGCCTGTTCTTCAGGGGCTTTTATGCAGAAGGACCAGGCTAGTGAGCAGTGCTCTGCTGCTGAAGGTGGCCCAGGGGTGACCAAGGAACCTTAAGTCCCCAGGTCACTCTGCCAACTGAATGGGCCTTGTTTACAAGACTCCCTGAAAGCAGGTTTTTAAAAATAGTTTTGCCGTTTTGTAAGAATGAGCCGTAATTATAAAAATGACATACAACACCCAGACTTACTTTGCTGTGGGTTCTCTGTTTTGCTCTCTTTTTGGTAGGTCGTAAATCTGTATCAGATGACTCCAGAAATGTGGGAGGAGAGAATTACTGCTTGGTACGCAGAGCACCGGGGCCGGGCCAGGTGAGGCCACCTCGTCGCCTGGCTTTGCTTCCTGTGGCTCACAGAGCTGCAGAGCTGAGGTGTGCTGTGGAATAAAATGCTGAAGTCCACGAAAGGGCAGATGGCAGCGCTCAGTTTCGTGTATCTCTCGTGTGTTGCTGTGAAGTGGACATGGGGACCGCCTGGCAGGCAGGACCCACCGTGTTCGTTGGTAACTTAATTGTGAGATTCAGTAGTGCGAATACTCCATTGCTTTTACATCCAGCCCTCTCCTGACGTCATTTGGAGTATCAGTTTGTCTTTCAGTTTTACAAAAAAGTTCTGCAATGCCCACTCTCATGTATGAAGCAGTCTGCGGATGAATTCTTTTGTGTGTGTGGTTCTGGGATTTGAACTCAGGGTCTTGCGCTTGCTAGGCAGGCCTCTATCCCGAGCCACGCCCCCACCCCCTAAGGACGTCATCTTGGGGAAGGACAGTTGCTGGTCAAAGGACGTGAGCACTTGTGTATTTTGACCAAGTTGTCCTCCAGAAAGGTTGTACCTGTTGGCACAAATCCAGCGGCAGTGTTGTAAGTCTCCCCCGCCCTACTTTATCCTCAACGCTTGCTTTTAGTAATCTGCAATTTTTGTCAACTAAAAGATGAAAATCATGTTATTTGCATTCCTCTTAATAGCCTCCCAATCCATCATCTTTGTGTTAGTCCTTACAGTTTTTTTCTTTTCTTCAAATTAACTTTCTACCATTTCCTTTTTTATTTTACTTTATTTATTTTTAGCAGTTCTTGGGTTTGAACTCAGTACCTCACACTTGCTAAGCAAGGACTGCACCATTTGAGCTATACCTCCTGCCCTTTGTGCTTTACGTTATTTTTTAGATAGGGTCTCATTACTTTTACCTCATACTCATACTTGGCTGGCCTCAGACCATGACTCTCCTACCTGTGCCTCCTGTGCACCACACCTGGCTTATTTCTCAAGATGGGGATCTCACTAACTTGTTGCCCAAACTGGCCTCACTAACTGGCCGAAAACTATGATACTCCCTATCTCTGCCTCCCACATAGCTGGGATTATAGGTGTGAGCTGCTGTGCTTAGCTCCCCATCCCTGTTTTTTTTTTTTTTTAGTCTTAGAATGCATAACAAGAAGTGGACAAGTCACCAAGTATACTACTTGATCAATTATCACAAGTGATAGTGAAGAATAGTTCAGGACCTTCTCTCCACTTCCTTTCTCCCCAATGGTAACCTGTCTCCTCTGATTTCTAAGGCATAGGTTTACATTGCCCTTTACCTTTTATTTATTTAACTTTTTTTTTTTTTCCAGCGCTGGGGATTGAATGCCCAGCCTTTCTCTGAGCTACCTCCCCAGCCCAGCATTGCCCCTTTTAAACTGTAAATACAATCAGTTTCTGGTTTTTTTGGGGCCTCACTTCTTTTACTCAACATATCTCGAGATTTGAGTTTGTGGCATGTGGCAGTAATTTTCTCATTTTCATGGCTGTGCAGAATTCCACTGTATTAATCTAGCACAAATTATTTGTCCATTTTCCCACTGAAGGACACTTAGGTTGTTGAGTTGTCTCATGGTTTTTGCTGTTACAATAATGTCATACAGTTTCCCCAAGTAATTGAACCAATTTGCATCAGCAGTGTGTGATTTCTGGTTCCTCCACCTGCTTGCCAACACTTGGCGTTCTCTCAGGGTGAATTTTTCAAATCCATTTGAGAGCATTTTGAGATCCGGGAGACAGGGAAAAGGACAAGGTCACAGAGAGGCTGGAGTAAAATATTTTAATGCTGTTACCTATTGGGGAGTTTTTTGCAAGTCATTGCTGCTTCAAGAGCTTACTTTAAATTTGGCTTCTGATGTTAAAGTAGGTGACCTGGCTTGGGTTTTACAATGCAGATAGCTCTGCCCCAACCTGCAGCAGCATCCCAAGGAATAAAACGAGGAAAGTACCTGCCAGGTAGTTTGCAGGGAGATTTTTATTAACACAGCCCTCTAGAGTAAGAAGTACACAAAGATAAGGCAACATAAATAAAATTTGGACATCCACACCCATTTGAGGGGAGAAAATAGCACACTGTGTGTTTATTTACTTTTTTTTGTCTTGTTTTGTTTTTGCAGTGCTGGGGGTGAAACCCAGGCCTTATGCATGCAAAGCAAATGCTGTACCACTGAACTACATTCCCACCCCCCCTTGTTCTTTTCTTCAGTCACTGGAGACAGATGTCACTTTACCAAGGGCAAAGTGTGAAATTGAAGCCAAGAGACAGTACACTGAGTCTGTTTCCTTGTTTTTGTGGCATGGGACACTCTGCTTGTGTTTAATGGACTCCAGGGTGAGAAGAGCTTTGCCAGGTCTGCTCTGGCTTGTGTCTTCTGAAGGTGTCACGAGTCCAGAGGAATGGCAGATTCAGGATGCTCAGCTTGGTGGGTGCCCCCTCCACCCTGTCACTTAGCTCCAGTGACCTTATCTTGCATTCTCCTCACAGGGATGAAGCCGAAATGGAGTATTTGAAGATAGCTCAGGACCTGGAGATGTACGGTGTGAACTACTTTGCAATCCGGGTGTGTGGATGCTGCCCTGAGTCCCCGGCTAGCGAACAGATACCGCCAGGGCCAGACGGCCAGTGGTTACTTCTTTATCCCAGGGTGGTAGAGTCTTTTACAGTCCAGTGAAAAGAGGAAAGGAGAGGGGTCTTAGAGCCTGGTTTTCTATTTTTGGACTTCAAATGAGATCAGAGGTAGTTAAGTGTCAGTGGCACCTTGGAGAGCTCAGGCCTGGTACCGCTCTCAGCAGAAACCTGTTGAGATGCTGGCAGCATAGCCGTTTGATTATTTCAGGCCTGAGAGACCCAGGGAACACCTGGAAATACCAGCTTTCCCCAGGCCCATGGGAAAAAAAGCTGCCTTTATAGATTACTCATTTGTTTGGGTGGAACTCTTGTTCTCACTGTGAGGCTAATTGGTTTTCTATTCAGACCGTTAATGGTCCACTGTCCTCCGGGAACCCAGTGCTTCTGCAGAGAGGCATTTGCGGTCAGCTCAGGTTGGCCCTGGAGCATGTCTTTGCAGTGTATAGGCTCTTCTTCCAAAGGAGTAGAGCAGTACATGCCATGTTCCGAAGCCCTTCATCATGGTATGTGAGGAGACGTTGAACCAATCAGCCACAGTGGTCTCCCTGTGGCCACAGTGATGCTTTGCTTTCCTCTTTTGGGTTCCTGTAGCTTCTGTATTAAATGAGGGTAAACTGAAGCACATTTTCAGTATTCCAGGATAGCTTTCTACTTAATTCACTTGCTTCCTAAGTACAGGTGTTTATGGATTACTTTGCATAAGAAATGAGGCACACTGAACTGTTCTGCTGTTTCATAAGTAAACAAGTGCCTAAAATATGATCTATGACAACACAGAATGTAGTTTTTAAACTTTCATTTATTTGTTTTTGTTAATTGTTCAGTTTTTTTAAGGTCAGACTAATTTCACACTTTGCTCTTGCCCCATGTGCCCACCATCCAGCTCCTTGAAAAGCATTCTGTCATTAGGGAGTGTCTCTTCATCAGTCAGGTTAATAGCTGCTATTTTGTGTGTGTTTTCCTTCTACTGAGCAATAGACACTTTAAAAGACTATTCTAGTGACTTAGGTTAAGAGCTCTGAAATTCCACCACTAACCAAGGAAGATAAATACTTTAAAACAATTTTAAAATTTTTATTTTTAACCAATATGTAAAAACATAAAAATTATACATGCTAACAGACACCACGTGATTAAAACCATCTAAAAGGGGCTGTTTATGTCCCCCCTTCCTCTCTGTTGCATATCTAGAAATATCACAGTCGTGATCCTAGAAGGCAGAGGGTGGGTTGTTTTTTTTTTTAATTTTAATTTAAATCATCAGAGACATAATGAAATCGCTCCTTTTCCAGAATGTGCTACAGATGTAAGAGTACAGTCTCACTTCTGTTAGCACAGTAGTTTCAAAAGCTTTGCAGACAAGCAGAAGACTCTCCTGCTTTGGTGGTAGTACCTGTCTTCAGGTGTTAGAAGCAGTAAAGAGACTGATCTTGGAGCACTGGCTTCTCCACCTGACACCTGCTGTTAGATTGCTACTTCTCGTCACAGTCCAAGTACCTTCTCAGCTTGTAGATGTGCTTTCTCACCCTTGAGTCTTGGTTCAATTTCCTTGTTGTAAGCCAGCGGTCAGGAGCTGTAGTGTCCTTGTGTGAGGAGTTTTCTTCTACCACCAAACAAGGGCCGGACCACAGTGCTGGCTGATGGGGCTGCTGTGAGGATGTGGTCAATGGTCCCAAGCTGCGTTGGTGCTGTGGGGCCCAGGGCACGTGCCGCTGCCGCCCTGCCAACTGAGCAGGCCCGCTGTCAGCTGTACAGCATATGTACAGTCAGTCAGTGCTTCAAACTGCTTTATCGAGATTCTGGTATATTTTTCTAACATTTAGTTATTAAACATTTCAAACATACAGGGAAGTTGAAAGAATTTTTTAGTGAATGTCTAGGTCTATATACCCATTACCTAGTACAATTAACATTTTACTGAGTCCGCATTGTAACCTAAAATGAGGCCAGCTAGTCTGGCACTTAAGGTTTTCTTTTTAGTAATCCAACAACCTTTCTTTTTTCTTTTTTTCTGCTGGAGATTATGGGTGCTAGGCAAGTGTTCTAACACTGAGCTACATACCCAACCCCAGCAACCTTTCTTTCACCGTCAGGAATGTTTAAATGATGTGCGGTTTTAACTTTTGTCTATAAAAATCTGGTTATTCATTTGGAGACAACATTTAAATTTCCCCTCCTTTAGCCACTGAGTCAGTGACAGGAACCCCCCAATGGTCCTTGCAGGGGACACCTGCGGCACAAAAACGAGACAGTTTTTTTGCCTCTGCCTGCCCCAGTCCCAGAAGCTGGAGTCCTCGTGTGATTTCTGTTGGGACCTGTTGAAACTTGTCAGATGTAACCGTGTGTGCCAGGTTCCTTGGGAATTTGAACAAAATCTCCAGCCAGGGCTAACAGCTGCTGCTCTTTATTGGCTCTGCAGAATAAAAAGGGCACAGAGCTGCTGCTTGGAGTGGATGCTCTGGGGCTTCACATCTATGACCCCGAGAACAGGCTGACCCCCAAGATCTCCTTTCCGTGGAACGAAATCCGAAACATCTCCTACAGCGACAAGGAGGTAGGACAATGGCCCAGTGGCTCAGCAGGTTTCTTCCCATCTCCCTCCATGCTGGAGCTTCCCCAGCCAGGGCACCTCCTGTTGTCAGTGGAAGGCCTTTAATTCCCAGCTTTGGGATTTGTGTGGTTGATTTTTAAGGTATTTACAGAACAGTGTCAGCATCCTTTTCTCAAAGGGCATGACTAACCTCCACTATTGACTAACGAGAGGCCAGGAAGCTCAACCTGTCAGAGCTAAACCCCAACGAACAGTGAACAAGAAAAAAAGGAACATTTTCTAACTGCTTGGCTTTCTATTTCTGGTGATAAATTCTCTTTGTATTTTAAGTATGGTCCATAGTGAGCCCCCTCCCTGTGTCCAGTACTTGCTACATAAGGTGGAAAACTCTATACATGCACACATATACATAGGTATGTGTGTCTGTCTGTCTCAGGAATGACATTTTATAAATAAGGATATCAGGCTAACATGCTTACAAGAATTTGAATAATTAAGTTTGAAAAACTTAGATGAACACTTGTTGGGTTCAAATATTTCTGTATAGGATGGTGACCACAGTGTTGTGTTTGTGCATTTGTTCTCTGTGGGGGGGGGGGCAGGGCTGGGCATTAAACCCAGGGTTTGTGCATGCTAGGCAGATGCTCTACCATTGCTCCACCCAGCCCCTATTCATTCATTGTCAAAGAATTATTGAGCATCTGTGTGGTGCTGGGTTTTGTAGGGCAAACAAAGATGTAGAAAACCTAGTCCCAGCCCTCCAGGAAGTTGCAGTCCAGTAACAACTAACTGCTGTGATGGATAAGCACTGTGGAAGGAACCAGCGAGGTAATGGTGAGAGAGGCTCCACTTACAAGCACTCAGGCACTGCCTCAGTGACTTCTAGTATCCGTATTAAAACAGGAAGCAGAGGTACAGAGGGATTTGGTGACTTGTGTCTGACAAGTGGAGTAGCAGTGGCTGGAAACCAGGGTTGCTGATGTCTGGCCTCTGCTTTTCAAGGAGGCCCAGACGCTGGACTGCTCAGTGCCTGCTGATCCAAGACACAGAGTGGGGACTTAATAACAGGAACAGCTTGTGTTGCCTACAGAGCACTGAGCAGATTTCCTGGTTTTTTCTTCTAGCAACTTGAGGAAAGAACACCAGGCCCTGGTTTCCAGTCTGTGGCTAAAATCTACTCATGCTTGCTGAAGCAGGTTGAGCTACGTTTTTCTTCTCTTCTCTTTTTTCTCTTCTTTTCTCTTTCTTGACAGGGTCTCGCCATGTAGCTTAGGTTGGCCTGGAATTCACAATCCTCTTGCCTTGGCCTCCCAAGTGCTGGGATTATAGGCATGAACCACCACACCCATCTTAGATTGAGTTTTAAGCCCAACATCCAGACTTGGAAGTTTTTGTAAGTAGTTGGCTTGGGAGACGAGCATTAGGTGCTCATTTTTAAAAGTAAAGCCTCCTCTACTATGGCCTGACATCCCAAACTCTAATGTACCGTGTCCAGGGTGAGACGCCATCATGTCCCACGTGACAGTTACACGCGGTAAGCAGACCCCAGGCTGCCGTGATACGATGGAAGTAGTCTTGATGGTTCCACATGCAGCTGTGCTGTCAAAACCCAAGTGTTACTTTAAGTGATCCCTTGATTGTGTAGGCCCTGTGTTTTCCCACCACTCATGGTTTCCCACTGACAACTCCAGAGCCAGAAATAAGCTCATGAAACTCACAAATGGAAGAGCCATGCTGTTTCAAGTCCACTTGGCCATGAGCTAACAAGGATTGTTTTCTGTCTCCAGTGTAACCCCTCGTTGGGTAGAAACACCCAAGAAGTTATCTTCCCTACATTTTTATCCACTAAGCAATCACATTTTGTTTGTTGGTTTTGCTTGTTCATGATTCTGGGGACAGAACCCAGGACCTCATGCATGCCAGGCAAGCTCTGTACCACTGAGCTATTATTTCTTTTTTTTCCTACTGTGCTAGGAATGGCTAAGCAAATCTTTATTGGTACTGGGTATGCATATATAAGGGCATCTTTGGAATCTGTCTGGTCTCCTTAGGAGTAGTTGAGGGCAATGGTCGTCTTTGTTTTATCAAGCTTCCTTGCTGGGATCTGCCTTGGCTTCTGCCACTAAGCTTCCCCCGCCCCTGACCTTACCATTCAGCTTTCGCTCCACTTTGATTTCAGGAACTGTTTTTCTCTTCTACAATAGCCCATTTCGTTCTATTTTATTCCTTCTGTTCCAGCTTTTACCACACTGTATACCCACATTCAGTATCTATATCACTATATCCTGTCACATCAAGTCCAAACCCCCTCTGGCTTTTTACTCCTCACCCCGCCAAGCTCGCCTCTGTCTCCCTCTCAGCCTAAGCCCTCTGTATGATTGCAGTCACCCAAAAGTTAATAATATCAAATGCACCACACTACTCCTGCATGGCTCTGCGTGTTCCTATTGTTTGCCCTGTCCGGAATGCCCATCTACCCGCTTTAGCTACTCTGTCATGTGTTTCTAAGATCTGCTCCAACCCCCAGGATATCTGTGATGCGTACCACCCATGAATCACTAATGTATTGTATCATTTCTTGAGTGATTGGCGACTGTTAGTCTAGTTCCTGTTAGATTGTGAGCTTCCTGAAGACAGAGCCCGTGGCCTTGAGGGTGGGTCTGTCACGTGTCTAATTTCAGGTCATCAACCACAGCCACCCACAATGCTGCAGAAAGCACAGTTGAGGGATCCCAGACTTGGATCCCTGCGTGCCTCTAATTCACCTGGGCATCAGGAAGCCAGGGCAAGAGATATCCTCCTGCTGGGCCATGGCCTGTGTGGCCACGGCTTTTGTGGAATTTCATAGTTGGTGGTACATTCTAGGCTGTTGCACTGAAACCATTCTACTTCCTTTTTTCAGTTTACCATTAAACCACTGGATAAGAAAATTGATGTCTTCAAATTTAACTCCTCAAAACTCCGTGTCAATAAACTGGTAAGTTGAGATCCTGGTTTTCTTTACTGATAATTGCAGCTTTCCTGAGAGAGCAAATGCTTCCATTAAAGGCTATCAGAGTGACACCTTGTGAGGTGCATCACGATTGCTCGCTTAGAACTCACGTTTCCTTTTAGCTTAACCTACAGAGTCAAGCCTAATTGTTTTTGCAGGTGCCAGTGCTAGAAACCAAACCCAAGCCCCTTGAGTCTGCTAGGCAGGTGTGCTGCTTCTGAGCCACACCCCAGCCCTCTGTCATGTTAATTTGCGTTTTTATAATTAATAACAAAGTTGAACATCTTTATATAGATATATATATTTCCTGGCCAAATCTTGTTTCCTGTTCTTTGAATACTTGTTTCATGTCTTTTGGCCATTTTCCTCTTGGATTGTCTGTTTTCTTTATTGGTCATGTCCTCTCCCAATGTGAGAGGCTTGTTCTTCCTTTTTTTTGTAATGTCATGATAAAAATTGTTAATTTTAATGTTGACGCATATAAAAATCTTTTCCATATTCATTTGTGTTTTTCATGTCTTGATGCCTTTCCTCTTCCTGATTATAAAGATATTCCGTGTTTTCTGATAAAAATTGCAAAGGCTTGGTCTTTGCATTTAAGTTTCTAATCCCTCTGAAATCAGTTTTTGAGTATGGTGTGAGGGAGGGATCAGGTTCTGTTTTCTTTTCCCCACCTGAATAAACTGACTGAGCTTTCCTGTCCTCTGTGATTAGAGAGCCACTTCTTGACTTGGGAAAAAAGATACAGCTAGAAGACATACAGTACCCTCTCCTCTCTTCTTCCCCTCTCACGGTTTTTACCTCCTGGCTTGTCTGAGCACCTTCATTGTGCATGAGAGCAGAGAGCACTGGAGGTTGTCAGCAGGGCTCTGGTGTTTTGCTCTACGCTTTCTCCTTTGGATTGACTGCTACCTACAAGCCCAACATGCTGAAGCATGGGTGGACTGGTAGGCAGCAAAGTATATTGTGGGTTTAACATTTCCCCTGTTTCTGTGACCACAGATTCTCCAGCTGTGCATCGGGAACCATGACCTGTTTATGAGGAGAAGGAAGGCTGATTCTTTGGAAGTTCAGCAGATGAAAGCCCAGGCCAGGGAGGAGAAGGCCAGAAAGCAGGTAAGCAGGGCCTCACTTTAGCTGCTGCTGCTGTTCTCAGTCAGTATTGGCCTGGGAGGTAAGGGGTGGGTGTGGGTAGCAGGAGTCTTTGGCCACAGATACGCCTGCTCTTATTTTGTCCCAGTTGGATCTTTATTGGATGCTGCCCAGTTGATGGGATGTCAGCTGTGGAAATGAGCAATAAATTCTAATAGCATATCTAAAAGAAGCATCTCCAGTCATTTCTATACTTAAGTGAAGTTAAGTGTGATTAGCACAAGGTAGCCAGGCGTGCTGTTGTCCCCATCCATCCAGCCATCTTCCTCCTGTCTGTCTCCTTTGCCTGGCCTTCTCCTTTTCTAATTAGATGGTGATAGACTACATGGCGGCACCTCAGTGCCTGCTGTGGAATGCTGATTAGCTCTGGCCACACTTCCTCCCAGCAGGTCAGCCTGGGCACATCACCCCCCACGGAGCTGCCCCAGTGCCTATCAGCATACTGGATGAACTGGATCATTGTTTTCTATTCACAGACCTCCTTCACTCACTGAAATCCACATGACTAATTTGGGCGTTGCCACTGAGAATACCAATTGTGTTTTGGGATGAAATAGCTGCCATTAGGCCTGCCCTCTCAGAGGTGTAGTGGTTACCCTGTATGCTGCTTTCTGCTTTGGGAACCCCAGAGAAGCTGGCTCCTGCCCTGGGATTTAAAGTAAATGCCCGGTTTCATCCAGTGGGCCTTTGCTCTCCACCTCTGTGTTTTCTGGGACAGCAGGCATCAGTTTGCTCTTTGAGCTGTGGGATAGGTATTGTCAGACAAAGAAATGCTACTGAGCCAGCATGGAGTCACAGTGGCAACTGCAAAAGCAGCTGTCTTTGACCTTGTCCTCAGCAGAGCAAAGCTTTGAAGTAAGAGGCCTGAAGGTGTTAAGGGGTGTAACACAGCTCAGTAGAACAAACAGTGACCTTGGAGCCAGGTCTGACCCTTACCGTGTGACTCAGTCTGCTCATCCAGCAAATGGAGCAAATGATGCCTCTGCTCTGCTGGCCCAGATCAGAGGACATACTGTGACTGAAGACCTCTGTAAGCAACCAACTGCTTTGCAAGTGGGAGTCCTTTACTATTGGGTGCAGTGCTGGAAGCTGAAGAGGGCTGCCGGGCCCTAGAAGAGTAATGGAGGTGATTGTAATTTGGTGAAGATTAGGGAACAGATAGCCAAACTCTTCATTGACCCGCCAGAGAAAAATTGGAGAAGGGCTTACAGTATTTTAGTGCTTGTCTTTGCTTCATTCTTTCAAATTCCGATACTTTTTTTGGTTTCATGTTTTAAAAAAAGGAGCAGTTTCAGAAATCTTGTACTAGAATTTAGGATGTGATAGAAGCAAGAGGGAAGTAATTAAATGTACTTTCAGTAAAGCAGAGAACAGTGCAGTGTGGTCACTTCTTTCTGGCTTCTGCTTTCTGAACTCAGTGCCCCGGGATCACAGAGAATAGCAATGTCCTCATTTGTTCCCTTACTAGGCTTGGCAGGTGGCCCAGTTAACACAGTGATCCAGAATACTAGGAAGGTGGCAGTGGAGGCTTTGTACTGTTGCCTTAAGGATGGGGGCTGTGTTCCCTGCCTGGCTCAGGAGTCGCCTCCATGTGGGGCTGTGCGGTGGCTGCTGCGCTTCCCCTGCGAAATAGTGTGGGAACCACCGACAGCACATGTGGCTCCATCTTCTCTGTGGAGCAGAGGCAGGAATGGAGCTATCATGGATGAAATCAAAGAAGTGAGGAGGGTCTGTGTGGATTAGAAATGGTGACCAGATGGAGAGCTGTATTTCCTGTGCTCATCTCAGCGAAGATGGCCAGCCACCAGCGACAAGGGCAGTGCCGTGTGAGGTTTCCCAACCAACGGCCGTGGCGTGGTTGGAACGTACTTGCGTGAGAGTGCCCCTTTCTGGCCAGGTGCAGATGAGTGTGATTTTTTTTTGTTGTTTGTTCATTTGTTCATTCGACACAAGAATTTTTTTCAAGGGAACAACTTTCAACCCTGTGACTGGTTTAGGACAGAGGGTGGTGGGCAACAAGAATGACCCACACTGCCTAAAGTGCAGGACAAGAAGGTCCCCAGAGAGGAGGCCCCTGAACTGGGAATGTCCAGTGTCTGGAGCACCATGACTCAGTGCCTGATCTTGTTCGCTCGCAGATGGAGCGGCAGCGCCTAGCTCGAGAGAAGCAAATGCGAGAGGAGGCCGAGCGCACAAGGGACGAGCTGGAGAGGAGGCTGCTGCAGATGAAAGAAGAGGCGACCATGGCCAACGAAGCACTGGTGATTTCTGAGGGTCGGAGGCCCCCAAGGCCACACAGGAACTCTGGAGTGGGGCCCTGGGGATCTTGGATTACCAACACTTGCTTTGATAGACTTTATGGTAGCTTTTAAAAAGTCGAGGCTTTCTCTTCCATCTGTGCTGGCAGAAGTAGACTTGGGTTGAGTTGATGTGCCACCAAACTCCACTTTCACCACAGGGTTGAATTAAGAGCATGGGTCCACAGCCTCAGCACTGCCAACACTCTGGGATTGCCTCTGCCTTGAGTGCCTGTTACAAAGTCCCTACCTCTGCTGATAGCTGGCAGTAACACCACCCCAACCTCCATTTGTGACAGAAATGTCTCCAGGGCTGAGAGTGCGGCTCAGTGGTAGGGCACATGCCTAGCATGAGTGAGGCTCTCTGTCAGATCCCTAGCACTGCAAAAACAAATAAACCTCCAGACATTACTACATGCCTCCTGGGGGCACAAAACCTCCTCTGGTTTTGAACCACTGGCTAAAAGGAAAAGAACTGAGTTTTAAGTTGTTTTGCTCCATAAAAGATCTAAGCCTCAGCTGAAGTGGGAACTCTAAGAAGGATGCTCGCTGTTATTCTCCACAGTGGAGCCTGGAAAGTCCTTATGAATAGTTGGGGATGTGGCATGTCATCTGTTGCCAGAGGGGCACTGGGGGAATACTCAGTGGCAGGACCCGAAGAGTCTGAGACTGGTTCTTGCTTCCCTGCCTGTGGGAGGACAGATGGGGTAGACAGGTGCCCGATCCTACATCAGCAGGAGACACCTTTCTCTGCAGATGAGGTCCGAGGAGACAGCTGACCTGTTGGCCGAGAAGGCCCAGATCACAGAGGAAGAGGCCAAGCTCCTGGCCCAGAAGGCTGCAGAGGCAGAGCAGGAGATGCAGCGGATCAAGGCCACGGCCATTCGGACAGAGGAGGAGAAGCGCCTGATGGAGCAGAAGGTGCTAGAGGCTGAGGTGCTGGCACTGAAGATGGCGGAGGAGTCAGAGAGGAGGTGAGGGGGGAGGTCCTGAGCCCTGGGGCCCTGCAAAGGGCTGCATGGTCTGAACCCTGTCCTGAAGCAGAGCTGGAAGCTGCCAGCCTCAAGCTGCTTCTCCATCACCAGGTGGGGGTGGGGAAGCCTCTTCCTTAACAGGCTGGCAGGGCTTGGAGCTGCTGGAAGGGCAAGGAAAACAGTTTGCTTGCACAGGGGCCCTCTCTGGTCCCACCTCTGTCATGAGCCCCCGTTCCTCCAGCTAGGTTTGCAGTAAAATCATTATGTTCGTAGACTTTTAGCTGAGAGATGCTAAAAGGCTCGTTTCACATGAGGAAATTGAGTTCTTTCCCTTTTATATCTGGGGGGCTTGCAGGTGAACAGCAGTTGTTCCTCTGAAGGAAAACTAGGCGCCGCTTCACCACAGCCTTCCTGGCAGGTGGGGGAGGGCAGCCGTGGTCCTCTTTGTGATCAGGATGCCCTAGCTCATGACCAGGTTGAAGGATGGAACTGTTGTCTGTGCTTTTCAGAGACTGTTCTAGGCTCTGGATTGTTCTGGTCCTGCAGCCGGCAGATAAACACTGGCACATTCCCCACAGCACCTGGCTCTGTTGATTTAGAACACTTGAATTTGGCTTTGAGCTACCAATGTACATTCACTAGTTTTCCTGCCTACTCTTTGCATGTCATTCTGGGAAATGAATGGTTCCTGCCCTGTCCCTGGGTGCAGGTCTCATCCCCCGTGAGCTGATGCATATCTGGCAGGGTCCCATGCCAGGTCCGAGAGGGCCAGGAGCTGCACCAAGATGCAGGGGCCTCAGTGATGGTGCACCTTCCTGCTTGAGGAAAGTGGGCGTGTGGCCCATGAGTGTTTCACTTGGGGGTCATGAAGAAGTAATTCTTTCATATTCTACTGTTTGGTCCAGAAATAAGAATTTTTTTTAATTTGTTTTTTTAACAGCTCCTCACAGCCCATTTATTCATGTGGCATAAAGACACACGGTACGCACATGCACACGTGACCATGAACGCAGGGCACAGGAGGTGCAGCTCTGGTGGGGAGGGTGGAATGCCCTGCTTACCCATTACCGTGGAACACACCTCTCTTGCTGTGGAGCCCAGGCTGGCCTCAGCCATGATTTTTGCAGGCAATTGCAGGTGTGCACCACCACACCTGGCCCAGTATAAGACTTTTGATCCTCTGTGCTCTTTGCCTAGCCCACTTTTCACTCAGAAGTAAGCAGAGAGCACATCTGGCTTCCTTCCCTCTACCTATTGCAGAGGTATGGGGTTTTGTTGATTTTGGTTTTTCTTTTAGACAGGGACTCAACTAAATTACCTGAGCTGGACTCAGTCAAGTGGTCCTCCTTTCTCTGCCTCTTGAATAGCTGGGACTATAGGTGTGAACCTCTGCACCTGGCTGACTGGAAGACTCCTTGTTTGACCCTTTCTCCACCAGCATCCCAGCTCTTGTACTCTAGATTTATCAGCTGAAATGAGTAATGTCCAGCACTGCTGGCCTGGCTGTAGAACTTCAACCAGGTCCCTCCTCTCCAGGGGTGGGGGGAGCTGCCTCTTTCCAACTGTCCTCTGTGGAGCTGACTTCCTTTTTATTTGCAGGGCTAAGGAGGCCGATCAGCTGAAGCAGGACCTGCAGGAAGCTCGTGAGGCAGAACGAAGAGCCAAGCAGAAGCTCCTGGAAATTGCCACCAAGCCTACATACCCGGTGAGCCTGGGTGGGACTACAGGTTGGGGCTGCTTTAGACCTGTCTCTTCCAGCCCTGCAGTTAGCTGGTGGTGCCTTCAGGGTGACTATTCAAGCAAACATAGGTTAGAAGGAATGGAGCCAATAGCCTATAGTCAGGGCCTGGGTGGGACACCCCTGGCCTGCCATTGGCCTTGGACTAGTCAGTTACCTCTCTGGTTATCTAGGTAACAGGCAACAGGGCTTTTTCCAGCTCTGGAATGTTTTTCTTCCTCTAAGTAAAGTGGTCTCAAATTATCCTCAAGAGAATTTGCTCTCTAGCCCCCTAATGCTGAGCCGAATGTAATCTTCAACTCACAGAATATACCATATGCCACACTGTAGTTCTGGGGAGGGGTTGATTTTACACCTCAGAGTGAATTACTGCTGTGCAAGAAACAGCTGCCAACCTCAGCTTTGGGACAGGGAGGCTGACTTCCACTAAATGGGGTCACAAAATAACTAGGAGCTGCTTCCCTTCCTTCTCTCTGTGTATTCCACTCAGTAAATTTTTTTGCACACCTGTTCTATGTGTGCATAACACTACGCAGTTGGAAACCTATATCCAGACAGGTGTGCACAGGTGCCTAGAACCCAGCCCAGCCTAGGGGGGCAGGAGGGGCTCAGAAGGGACCTAAGCTGACTCTTGAAGGACAGCAGGGTCTCGCCAGGTGGGTGGGGAGATGATGGTATGATATAAACAAGGGCACAGACATACTCACAACACAAACCCACGGCCCATTCCCTCACATGGCGTGAACACACCCCGCACGTTCGCACACGCTGTGGTTGCATTCACACATATGGCCCAGAGGGATGCAGGGCACAGGAGACATAGCTGCCTCAGATTTGAAGGAAGTGAAAAATGTGAGCAGTTTGCTCTTACCATGCATCATGGTTATTGATTACTGTGTAACAGACAAATAGCCATTCTTTTTTTTTTTTTTTTGATGATTCTGGGAATTGAACTTTGGGCCTTGTGCTTGCTAAGCACGCTCTGTACTACTTGGTCCGCGCTCCCAGCCTGTTTGCTTTGTTCTTCTCAGAGAGGGTCTCATGCTTTTGCCCAGATCAGCCTCAAACCATGATCCTCCTAAAACGTACACACAGAGAAGTACCTGAGTGACAACTGTACAGCTTGATGAACCTTCATAGGCTGACCACACACACATACCCATCACTGACATGAGAAAACAGAATGTTCCCAGGGCCCCAGAAGCCCTTGCTCAGCACCACTTCTTACGTCATCCAGACACCCTGCCTCAGATTTCATTATTGTCGCAAATGAAAGTTCTCAAGTGCCTCTCTTTCCCAGACACCATCTTAGACTCAACAAAGGATCCAAACAAGAAAATGAGGCAAGTCCTGCAGAGAGTAGAAAGAAGACATAGTCAAAAGGGAGACTTTGCAGGATGGAGTTACAGAAAAGAGTCATTGCAGAACAGAAACACAGTGTTAACGGACAGCAAAGGCCAAAAGGGATCTAGAGAGACCAAAGTTGTTGAGAAGGGCCTTGATGGAGCATCAGGAGAAATGGCACAGGCAAGAGTACCGAGATGGGAAAGCTGCCTGGCTCAGGAATAATAAGTAGTGCTATTTTTGATTTAGTGGGGCAAATAGTGGGAGACACACAGGAAGGTCAGAGCCATATTTCAGGTGACCCTTTGTTCTGGGAAAAGAAAGTCCTAAAAGCAAATGTAAATCACTTCACCCTGTTTTTGAAGCCCTCCTCTGGCTCTGTCTTCCAAATCCAAGCCCCACAGTGTGCCAGCAGAGCCAGTTCCCTACCCGCCTCCCCACAGGGCACTGCAAATGCCTAACACTGTCACTGGATGCTCTCAGTCCTATCCACCGCCATGCCTCTTGTCTGGCACCCTTCTCCTGGCGTGTTCTCTGATTCCAGCGGAAGCAGCATTTATTCTAGCCTCCCTCCTCCAGCCCCCTCAGCCTCTGTTCCTTCCCAGGCTACAGTGTTTACCTTATTTAACTGTGAGGATTTGTGAACACATCTGTTTCCTGAATAAGACTTTCAGCTACTCAGAGCCAGAGACCCATCTTGTTCTCTGCGCCTCCATCTCCTAGCACAGGGCCTGGTTGCTTCCTAAATAAAAAAGCGCATAGAAAGAGTTTGTGTTTGATTCAGGTGGGTATGAGAATGGTTGGATCTGGAGGCAGAAGGGTAGTGGAGCTTGGTTTTGTATAAATTGAACCTCCTAATCTGAGCTTTCTCACTGACAGCCCATGAACCCAATCCCAGCACCACTGCCTCCTGACATACCAAGCTTCAACCTCACTGGCGACAGTCTCTCTTTCGACTTCAAGGATACTGACATGAAGCGGCTTTCCATGGAGATAGAAAAAGAAAAGTATGTAGCCTCCTGTGGCCTGCTCAGGGTAGCTGTAAATGAGAGCGAGTAGATCTGGGCCTGGGGCCGTGGAGAGTCACCACAGCAGCCTGTCACTAGTTCTGCAAAGGTTTGCTCTGTGTGACCCACTGGAGGATGAGTATCCTAATTAGAAATTAAGGACAACAGAACAGCAGTCAGTGTTCCAGGATAAAAATAACACTTGATTGGTGACCTGGAGTTCATAGTGGTTCAAAACCTTGACTGAGGAATAGGTCTGGGTTGACTGGGGTCTCCGAGGCAGTCAGACTGTTCTTGTGGTACTAGACTGCAGTTTTCTCCTGATGGAGTTCTCCAGCAGCTGGGATTTGCAGTGGTTTCTATGTCTAGAATGAAGATGAGAGAGAAGAAACTTGGGCTAGAGGCTGAGGAAAGCCAGTGGCCAGGGAGGGGTGTGTGGGGCAGTCCTGCACTGGGCAGCCCTAAGTGGAGCCCCACTTGTGTGGCCCAGCATGGGCAGACCACAGCAGCTCCTGCCAAGCCGCCCTCCACCTCCACTTTCAGGTCAGTGGAAACAGGGCTGACACGGAGAGAAGTCCCAGAGCTGGGTGAATTGGTTAATGGTGCCACAGCTGGCAGAGAACAATCTTGGATTGAGTTCCTGTGTATCAGGACTTTATATCTGTTGTCTCATTTAATTCTGAGTAACTTACAAAAATCACACTGACTTTTATGAGAACAGACTAAGTTTAATGAGCTTATGCAGCACCACACAGCCGATGAGGAGCAAACCTGGGGTCAGAACCCTTCACCATGATGGCGCCCTCAGACTGTCTGAGTTCCGGAATCCTTGTCCAGATTTGTGCATTTTTCTTCTCTGTCCCTGCTTGTTTAGAGTTTGTCTTTTCTTACTCTCTTAGTGTGTTTGGCTGCTATAACAAAATACCAGAGGCTGGGTGGTTTTAAACAACAGAAATTTATTTCTCATAGTTCTGGGGACTGGAAATCCAAGATCAAGGTACTGTCAAATGTAGACTCTGGTCAGAGAGCCCTCATCCTGGTTCATAGATGGTGCTTTCTCAATGTGTACTCAGGCCAAGGTCTCTCTAGGGCCTCTTTTATAAGGCACCACTGTGACTTAATTCCTTCCCAAAGCTAACACCTTCATGTTGGTGATTTGCTTTCAACATGAATTTTGGGGAGTCCCAGGAATTCAGCCCATAGCACTTACTTCCATTGCACATGTTGCAGAGTCCATTACTAGACTCACCATGGTAATCCTTCCAGAATGTTCCTTCAGTTTGTGTTGCATAGCCTTCCTAGCCATGCCCTTGTAATCAGACACTTGGCAGGTGGATTCCAGATTTTTCACTGTCACTCAGTGCGTCACTTGCAGGCGAGGGTGAGGGCCTTTTTCTTCCTTCTGTTGGCTGAATGGGCTTCTGTCATCCTCAGGAGATGAAGTCTGAGAATAAGTGGGGGTGTGGGTGCAGCCTATTGGAAGAGGTCACTGGATTTACTACTCCAAGAATGGTTGAGACAAGGAGAGTGTTTTGGGTGCAAGAGGCTTGTTTCTTGTGATTTCTATCCAGAATTAAAAGCTGTCTGTGATAACTGGTACTTGTAGAAGACTCAGTTTACACAGGGCTTCCTTTCTTACACTTTCTTTTATTTCTCCCAACCAGAGGCCCTGTGATCATTATCCCAATTATACCAATAGGGAAAGAGAGTCGTGGCAGTTAAGTGACCGATGGCCTGCCATAGTTAAGGAGTTAAGGCTCCTATGGCCTGTGAGTGACCAGGTGGCAATGTGAAGGCCAGGCCTTGGCTCTGGGCTCCTGCACCGGGCGACTTGTGCATCACCAAGCACCTTGGCCGCGTCTCAGTGTTGTCCAAGCCCTGATGGAGTGTACTTTCGCTGCAGAGTGGAGTACATGGAGAAGAGCAAGCACCTTCAGGAGCAGCTCAACGAGCTCAAGACAGAAATTGAGGCCTTGAAACTCAAAGAGAGGGAGACGGCATTGGACATTCTGCACAATGAGAGCTCGGACAGGGGCGGCACCGGCAGCAAGCACAACACCATTAAAAAGGTACCCGTCTGTGGCCTTGCCAATGAGGACATGCATTACCGACATGTGAGCTTGCCATCTGCTTTCCTCGGAAGCCGAGTCACTAGACTGTTGTCATTTTTTACATGTACTTAGTTGCCAGAAAGGGAATTTAATCTACCGGTGACCATGAGCTCGTCGGCTTGATGGAAGTGGAGCATACGTTAACAGCTCTGATGAGATGAACCGTTGTTAGAAGACGGGTTCTGATCCATCACTGAGCACTAACGCAGGCAGCTCTGTCTTTTAAGCCAATGGGAGTTTTGCCCAGGGAGCTGCCTTACTTAATGAGAAAGCGCGATGAATTACAGGCTGGAGTGAGTGGAGTCCCCTAGTCTTTTGCGTTTTTAAGGATTTTCGGTTGAGAAACCATATTCTGAATTTTCAACATTTTCATACTTAGAAGAAAGCATCTGGAAGAGCATTAATGTTTTAAAAAATGAGGCTTTGATTATAAGACTCACAGAATCCCATCTTTCTCCCCTAATATTTTGAGCGCTCGGCATTTTAGGGATTTAGAAGTTAAATTCCTTATTTATTATCAGCCCAAGGAGTATATGTCTCTTACTTGGGCAAAATAGAAAGGTTGTCTTTGGTCAGTCGATCCTCTGCTGTTAACTCATTGCCCAGAATCAGGTTACACCTGTAAAACAGGTGTTATTATACACGCTGGTTATGGTGGTGCTTGTCTGTAATCCCAGCACTCAGGATCACAAGTTCCAGACCAGCCAGGGCTACATAGCAAGACCCTGTCTCAATAAAAAGGGGAGAGGGGGAGGGCTGGAGACATGGCTCGAATGACAAAGTGCTTGTCACCAAGTGCAAGCCATGGATTGAGACCCCAGTACTGCCAAAAAAAAAAAAAAAAAAAGATGTCTCTGAGTTTAGATAGCAACTGAGATAAGTTAAGTTTTTGCTTTTCACCACAGACTTTAAATAGTCTCCAGTTAAAGGACCGTCTCTGTTTTCAGTGGTTAAGCTGTGACTGAAAACCCTGTGAGGTCCGTACCTCCTTGCCACGGCTGATAGAGACAGTAGGGAGCCCCCCTTCTCCTTCGTGGCTCGTTACAGTTGGCAGTGGGTAGAGAACTCCTTTCGTCTGGCTTCTGTCATTTCCTGGGTTTCCCTTCCAAAACAAAACTATGAAACAAAAGGGATGCTTCTGCCATCAAGCAAAGAGGTGAAAAGACGATCGGGACAGGGAGCTGGCAGCCCTGAGGGAGCTACTTCAGACCCTTGCCCTGCCTCCTTGTCACCTGGGTAATGGGAACAGCCTCCTCTTAGCTGCTGCCGTAGTGGGCTAGGCTCTTGGCCACAGGAGCCCAGAGTGCTGAAAGCCAGAAAGACCTATTTTCAAGCCATGGAAACAGACAAAGTCACTGGTCACGATTTCAGACCTGTCTGAGCATTTGCAAATGGCATGTGTGACATTGTTGATTTCACAGGGTATGTTTCTGTTTTTCTTCATTTTATCTTGCTGGTTTAGCCTCAAGCCCAAGGCAGAAGACCTATCTGCATTTGAGCCCTCAAAGTAGGTTATTCCCAGGTACTCTGTCTGTGGTGATGGTCCCGCCCTCTGTGATACTAACCCATGCATGAGCTTGCCTGTCTCTCCTCGGGCCGCTCGGAGCCCTCCCGAGGGCCGTGGAACCTGGGTACTGGCCGCAGCATGCTTTGGGGCTGAGAGCAGGCGTCTACCCTGGGGGGACCACACTGGTCTCCAGGCCCGGAAGACTGCCTTGGTCCAAAGAGCATGTCACAGGGCTGCAGGACTGTTGGTCCTGACCATCTCGTGTCACCGTTGGGCTGGGGAAGGTCATGGCTTCTTGTCCAGTCAGGTGTGTCTATGATTCCTTTGTCTTGATGGTGTACTCCTCGTATAAATAACCCTAGCATGGAAATGGGGCCGATTTGGGTGCTATTACAATGGGTGTCTCTCACTTGAGATCAATATTTGCCTTGTGGTGGTTCGCTCTGCAGCCTGGTGGTCACAGCTGGCAGCTCTGGGCGTGGTCACTCCTTTTCCCCTAGAGCTTCCATGTTCTGCACACACCCTTTTCCTTTCTGAGGGCAGCAAACTTTGCGCAACACAGGATCTCATCTGTAAGTCAGGCTGAGTGAACTGTGTCCCACTGCTACCCTAAAGGCCACCTGGGCTTCGGCCTCTCTGCTATGGAGCAGATCTGTGCGCTGACTTGTCTCACACTGGGGTGGTCCTGTCCACAGCACCCAGGAGATAAGCACCCAGCAGTTGTTGAGTGAAGTAACTGAACAATTGCTGCTTATTCTTCCGACAAGCCTAGGCAGTGAAGAGAATTTATTTTGCCCAGTAATAAAATGACATCCTGCGTCTGCTTGTCGTTTAATCCCCAATCGTATGCATGCCAGTGAGTCCGGCACCATCGTCCAGCAGGGGCAGGATATGTCCTTCTGAGTCCCCACACGGACGAGTAGAATCAACTCCCTGGAAGCTTTCTCCCAAAAGAGACCTGGCATAAGATAGATTGTATTTATGCTCGTTTTCCCAGCAAGAGAGGTTAGCTGTTAAAGCCCCGGATAGATCTTTAATCAGAATGATGAGAGCTGTCAGGGGTTCTAAGAATTCATGGCGTGAACCCTGACTTGGGTGTGATTTGAGCCCTGATTGAAGAGTAAGCTCTTACTTCTTCGATTTCATTCTCACTTTGGTGTTCATATCCAATACCGAGCAGTGTGTACTCTGAGCAGGGCGTTGAAAGGAGCACACCAAGTGAATCTCTGCCCAAGTGGCAGCCCCAGGGTGCCTGGTAAATCCACTGTGGTCTACCAAAGTCTGTGTAACACAGGAGCAGCAGAGTCCTGATTTGTGTCAGCCTGTGCTAGCAGACGTTCCCTGAATGCAACTTACAATTCAGCCTTAATTTGGGCTTGCATTTCTTTTCTAAGATGATAAAGAATGTTTACATTCTTTAGGGCCCTAATTTTAACCATCCGTTCTCACTGGGTTATTACTGGAGATGAAAGAAGTATCAGTTCTGTCAAATGTGTACTGTTCCTAAGACCAGCAGTCATGAGCCCCTAATGACCAGTCAGGTGTGTCTATGATCCCTTTGTCCTTAATGACATCGGCTCAATGGCACATTGACCATATAACAGTAGTCCCATAAGATTATCCCTGGAGCTAGGTGCCAGTGGTTCATGCCTATACTACTTGGGAGGCAGAGATCAAGAGGATCGAGGTTCGAAGCCAGCCCAGGAAATACCCAACATAAAAACAGGGCTGGCAGAGTGGCTTACCTGCCTAGTAAGCGAGAAACCCTGTGTTCAAGCCCCAGCGTCACAAAAAAATAAATAAACAAATAAAAAGCTGATCACCTGGTGGAGGTTGCAGTGTGTCCCCATCCTTAAGCAACACATGACTGACCATTGGAAAATTCATTCATTAACTTTAGTGTCTTGATGTGAACTTGTTTTCAAAGCAAATTACTAGGCTCTATTTAATTAGGAATTCTGATTGAGCTGGGCGTGATGGCCTGTGTCCATTTACAAGACCCCATCTCAATGGAAAAAAGTTGTGTGGGGTGGTGCACGCCTGACCTCCAGTGACAATGGGAAGCCTAAAACAGGAAGATCAGAGTCCAGGCCAGCCTGGGCAAAAAGCAAGACCCTATCTCCAAAATAACCAGAGCAAAAAAGACTAGAGGTATGGCTCAAGCAGTACAGCCTGCTTCACAAGCACAAAGCCCTGAGTTTAAACCCCAGTCCTAAAAAGAAGAAAAATCTGGTTGAGTTGGGTTTAGTGGTTCACATCTGTAATTCCAGAGCTTGGGGAGGCTGAGGCAGGAGGATTGTGAGTTCAAGACCAGCATGGACTACATAGCAAGACCCTAGTGTCAAAAAAATAGAGAAAACAGAAAGAGTTCTGATAATGAGGGTTTACTAAAAGCATGGACTTGTCTTCTTTCTCTGTCTCTCTCTCGACGGTACTGGGGTTTGAACTCGGGGCCTCACGCTTGCTAGACAGGCACTTTACCACTTGAGCCACTCCACCAGCCCTGGACTTGGCATTTAAATGTGCCTGGCGTCCTTTTAGCCCCACTGGACGAGCCCCTGGTGCACACGAAGTTTGAGGCACGTCCCATTTTCTAGACATTGGTAGTCCCCATTGCCAGTGACTGGGACTGATACCAACCACCTGCACAGACATGACTCTGAAGTTGTGTCTGCTACAGTCTGGGTCGATGCCAGCTTAGCAAAAGAGAAGTGTCAGGCTTTGGAAGTGCAGGCAGTAGAGCTCCTAGCAAAACACAAAGCCCTGAGTTCAAACACCAGTACCACCAAAAAAAAAAAAAGGTAGAACATGGGGGATTGGAGATACAAAGACATGTGGTGACCTGGAGAGTTTCCACTGTCTTGAGAGCCCATTGATCTGGGGCCAAATTAGCCTGTGTTAGTTTTTGGCTTTAGTCGGTTTTCATCACAGATTTCTTTAAAAAATGGGTCTCTTACCGACTGACTGTAATTGAGGTGTACTCTTGGGGTTCTGTATCTAATATGGTCTCAGCAGATCTGATGGGGCTGAGGAAAGTCAAAGGTAACTCAGGGGGCTTGCGCTTGGGCTCCTGGGGGTTACAGTTGTTTGGCAATGCAAAGAGGTGGTGCTGTTGGTTTCCTGAGTCAGCACTACTTTACCACCTCCTCTTTCACAGCTCTTACTGCCAGTAAGTGCTTGCCCAGCATGCCCACAGCTCTGGGTTCGATCTCCAGCACCACAAGAAAACAAAACAGTGAACAAAAGTACAACACACCCCGCTCCCCAAAATTGTCGCGAAAGAAGGAAATGCACAGGAAGCATTTGGTGCACAGTTAGGGCTTAACAATAAAGAAGTAAATCTGTTTGTCCCTGTGACAGGGGACGAGGGGCATCAGAGCCTCCACATTTATGCCCACAGCTGGTGGCGAGCGTGTTTGTATCGACTGGGATGCAATGGAGGTAAAAGCTTGCACAGAGCCGAAATGAACTGGAGTGTTCTGCCTGGGGCTGCAAGGCTGTGTTCTCCCCTGTCATCTTACCCCCACATTTCCACTTCCCCGACAGATGATCAGCGCAACTGAGCTGACATTTGTGTCTGAGTCAGCAGCGCCAGTTATCAGAAGCCACCCCGGGGAACCGGGGCTGGTTTCCTTCTCAGAGGGAGTGACATGTGTTCCTGCGTCTGAGCCTTCGATGGGCCAGGGTGGGGCATAGGGTGCCTGGGGCCTGAGTGTTTTGCCCTCAGTACCAGGCCACCGCACCCGGAGGGGAAAACGTGGTTCCGGTGCTCACACGCTTGTGGGGCTTGCTGTCATCTCCTTTCAAGAAACTGGTTTCTGTCTCCTGTTCCAGAGCTGGTCCGAGTGCCAGCAAACAAGTCATTGTTTTTGTGCCCATGGTCTCTGAGGGAGCAGAGGGTTTTGAAGGAAATTGACAGATGGGAAATTGTGGGGGTTGTATTGCTGAGAAAGCTTATTTCATTCGTAAATGGTTTGGCCCGTCAGAGTCCAACTGCGGTTCCCACCATGGAGGAGCAGGAATAGCAGTGTCTTGACATTTATGGGAAGCTCAGCTGCCTACTACATCAGGAAGATGTAAAAGTCCAATGTCATCTTCAGTTTCTGCCGAGTCCCCTTGGAGGATGGGGGGCTGGCGAAGTAGAACACTTCAGACACCAGAGAAATGAAAAATCACAGGGAGAGGCTGGCTATGCACCCGAGGTATCTCCCACAGCTAAAATAAGCGACTGGCCAGAGCCTCCACCATGGCTGCTGAGTAGTTTGTTTAATATGTGGTCCACATCCACCTGTGCAGCTCTTCTGAGGACCCCATGGCTGAGTGGCATTGTCACTAGAGTATCCTCGGCCCTGGCGTGAAAGTCGCTGCGCTGGCTCTTCCTCTCGGGAACCTTCCCCTTGTGTGTTCTAGAGAGGATGGGAGAACGAGGAGTGGGGAGTCAGGAGAGAGGTAGCAGCAGCAGCAGGACCAGACTTGGGCATAGGACACCCAGAAGAAATTGCAGTGGCTGCCAGGACGCTTTCTCTCCTGAGCTCTGTGAAAGCACAGGGAGGGCATGGGGACTCCTGCCTGGCCGATCTGAGGAGCGCTGCTCCCGGCTGTGGGCTTATCCCTGAAGGGTGTTCCTGACGCTTGCACGTACTCACACGGTTTCTTGGAATCTTGTAACTGTTGAGGGCTGACTATTTTTCTGCTTGTTTCTGGTGTCTCTCTGGATAAAAGATTCTACCAGTCTCTTCCAAGACTACACCCAATCCTGGTTTCGATTGGGAGACTTAGTCAAGCACTTGCTCTTGGGAGGTGCCAAACCTCAGACACTGCCTTGCATCCGAGAATGCTTCATGCCTATTTGGAAGTGCCTGCAGCCATTATTGGGCCTTATTTGATGCAGTAAAACATCCCATTTGGCCCCTGGGCTCTGAAGATATGTTTCAGCACAGCTTTCCCTGGATACCTGATTTGTTGCTGCAATAGTGGGAGGGAAGAGCCAGGATGCAAATTCATTCTGCAGGCTT